TTGGAACTTTGTCCCCCCCGTTTGAAAATCCTATCTGCGCCCCTGCTGACAAGCCCGGGAGAATTTCCTTTAGACTGACTCTGGTAAATAACACCAACCGTATGGTCACAGAAGCAAAACAAAGCTGTTTCAGGAGAGAACATCATATGACGAGGGATTGTTGTGCTGTCTTGTGTATTGTTGAAGGGAACCAACTCTTTTGGATCCATACGAGACCCAGATGAAAGCAGGAGCAGGTGTGACTGAATCCGGTAATTATAAAACGGATTGTCATGGACACCCTCTCACATTCCTCGAGCCTCTGCTGTAACATCTGCTGCTGTTTTACATCATATCTGCAACATTTCCCTTCAAATTCAAATAGAACGCTGCAATCTAATACCTCCTTTCATATATGACCTGATTTTTAATGCTTTTTCCTGTAGTGTGGATATAAATAATGACGTAAAATAATTCTTATTTAAAGAAACTTGCCAGTTTATTTTTGTGACTTTGTAATGAACGATATCTGTAACACAACTTCTTCCTGGGAGTGTTGTTAGGTGCACAGAGACGTGTCTGAACTGAAGCTAAAAGTGTTTTCCTTTTCAACAGCACTCATAAATAAATCTTTAAAGGACGATACAACTGTGGAATGAGAAACTCAGCTAATCATGTGAGTTGAACAACCCAAAATGTGCCAGAACACACTGGAATATTCTCCCGCTGGTGTTCAATAAGTTTGGGTTTATTGATGGATTAGATGAGGAAATATCAACAAGCCTCAGGTGTGTACGAACAGCAGCCCCACCATCTTGGCGCCTCCTCCTGGACACCATCCAAGTCCCTCCTTCTCATTCTAGTCACCATCTAGGCTCCTCCTACCTATGCTGGTCACCATCTAGGCTCCTCCTCCTCATTCTGGTCACCATCTAGGCTCCTCCTCCTCATTCTAGTCACCATCTAGGCTCCTCCTACCTATGCTGGTCACCATCTAGGCTCCTCCTCCTCATTCTAGTCACCATCTAGGCTCCTCCTACCCATGCTGGTCACCATCTAGGCTCCTCCTCCTCATTCTAGTCACCATCTAGGCTCCTCCTCCTCATTCTAGTCACCATCTAGGCTCCTCCTACCTATGCTGGTCACCATCTAGGCTCCTCCTCCTCATTCTAGTCACCATCTAGGCTCCTCCTACCCATGCTGGTCACCATCTAGGCTCCTCCTCCTCATTCTAGTCACCATCTAGGCTCCTCCTCCTCATTCTAGTCACCATCTAGGCTCCTCCTACCTATGCTGGTCACCATCTAGGCTCCTCCTCCTCATTCTAGTCACCATCTAGGCTCCTCCTACCCATGCTGGTCACCTTCTAGGCTCCAGACTTCCCTCTCCCCAGCCACTTGGGCCAGCTCCTCCGGGGGAATCCCAAGGTGTTCCCTGGCCAGGTGAGAGACATAGTCCCTCCAGCGTGTCCTGGGTCTACCTGTAGGTCTCCTCCCAGTTGGACGTGTCCGGAAAACCTCATCAGGGAGGCGTCCAGGAGGCATCCTGACCAGATGCCCGAGCCTCCTCAACTGGCTCCTCTCAATGTGGAGGAGCAGCGGGTCTACTCCAAGCCCCTCCCGAATGACCGAGCTTCTCACCCTATCTCTAAGGGAGAGCCCAGACACTCTTCAGAGAAAACTCATTTCTGCCGCTTGTATCCACGATCTCGTTCTTTCGGTCTCTACCCAAAGCTCATGACCATAGGTGAGGGTAGGAACGTAGATCGACCGGTAAATCGAGAGCTTCGCCTTCTGACTCAGCTCTCTCTTCACCACGACAGACCGGTACAACGCCCGCATCACTGCAGATGCAGCACCAATCCACCTATCGATCTCACGCTCCAGCTTTCCCTCACTCGTGAACAAGACCCCGAGATAGACAACCATGACAGAAAATGACTTTATCCCATCATCCCATGTTGTATTTGTTTTAATAACTGTTTAATGTGCTTTTGAAGCACCTTGTGAAGTATCTAGAGCCACCTCTCTTCTTCCCGTTCTACTCCTATAATGCACGGAAGAAAACTGAAGGTGAAAGCTGCTTTCAGATGTATCTAATAACATAAAACATGCATACAGTTGTCCCTGCAGCATCTCGCCAAGGCGGGCTGCCTGGACCTCTCCTCGCTGTGACATCTTAAGTCACACGTTGTCTGTTTAGGTTTAAGAAGGGTGGGGCTTGGTGACGGAGAGTGCCTTGGTCTGCGTTTCTGATTGGTTGAGAGCCTAACAACATCTAGTGATAGATATTGTTATTGAGTTAATGTCCAGCTCTAGTTCGGGTACAACAGTTTGTGATGCTATGCATTATGGGATGCATGGCCAGCTCAGGTCCGCAGAAGGATGCGTTCATGCATCCTCGATGCAACGAGTGGAGCAAGAACACATCCAGGAGCTTTGAGCGTACTTGGCCTGGTACGTATAGGACTGGAGCAGTACTTTGGTCCATGTCGAAGGCACAAGAACGTGGGTGCACACGTTCCACAGGAAACGGCCTGAGGTTGCTGAAGGCCAACCCGCATAGTGCTGGTCGGGTTCCAGTCCCACACCTGAGACTGGAACACACCTGGCAGCTGTCGCTCATGCCACAGAGGCAAGAGCCCGCTGCATCGTCACGGCGACTCATCAGCGTTTACAACTATGCAAGATGTACAACTAGAAACATTTCTGGAAAAAAGACCTTCTCCAAACACAAATGTCTGGACTTTTAGTGACCAGATTAGTTTTAAACTTCTCCTTTTTACCAACATTTAAAGCTTCTGAATCGAGGTTTGGTGCAAATTTACTGAAGCAATCTAAGGCCGGCATGAGAAGCGTGTTCTAAAGAGCAGCATCTCATCCCGATGACAACCCATAATCTCAACTTCTTCCGGATGCTTCCCGCACAAGAACATGGTGTTGACTTTTACGACTAGAAATCACAGGCTGCCTCGGCTCGGTTCACGCAGAGAAAATGTTTAAGAACCGGCAAATTCCTCCCCACCTGCTGGCAGGCGGTGCACTGCGAAGATTAGATGTGGAGAGGAAGAGCAAGAAGAAGTCACGCACTAGCTGTGTAATCTCAGTGTGATAAGGAGGGGTGGGGGCTGCAGGGAGCGATTGGAAGAGGACAAACGGAAAGGGAAGTGGGAGATTGATGACGAAGGGAGAGAAAGCATCGAGTGAAAAGTTACGACTGGAGAGGAAAGAGATTAGGATGGAGTGAGAGAGGGAGTAGGGGAGAAGACAGGAAGTACAGAGTCAGAGGAAGAGAATACGTCAAGAGACACGAGGATCTTGTCCGAGAGAGGAGAGAGAGAGATGGTGAGGGTCAAATCCACATTTAATCTGATTCCCCTCAGTGTGCCGATCTGCTGCTGCCCTTCACTTCACCATCACACACACACACACACACACACTCACACACACACACTCACACGCACACAGACACACACACACACACACACACACACACACACACACACACACACACACACACACACACACACACACACACACACACACACACACACACACACACACACGCACTCACACACACACACACACAGGTGATGTGACAGACATGATGCGAGCCACTAACGCTCTCCAACAGAGACTTTTTAGTTTGTGTGTTTCTTCATCAGGATCTTTTTCTGTGATCCATCTGTTCTAAATGTCGTCGTTAATCTGAGCGTTTCTGGTTTTCCCCGTTTTACCGAAGAAGCCCAGAAGAAACGTGCCCGACTCATTCAGAGTCTCACCTGCACCAGTAGATACGGCACGTCTTTCCCTCATCCTGCTTTAATGACCTGATTTTTGGTTCATCTGTGAGAATAACCCAAATGAGGCTGCAGCTCTGGCTTCAAACCGAGCCTTCATCTCCATCCTACAGTCAGGCGTGCTAGGAGCGAAGGCTGTTTCCAATCAGCGCAGCCTGCTGCTGGGACGTCTCACAGCTTCTCCTTCCACTCACATCTCCGTCTCTGAGTGACTCTCGCGGCTTTGGCTCTGCTATTCTAGGATGCTACATGTATGATTTGACTTGCTGCTGCACCACAGTGAGCTAAGTGCTTCTGACACACTCAGGAGGAGAACAACGCTGCACACAATCAACTACCCCTACCCCTGGATGATAACTGGGACTTATCATGATCTAAAGAACTGATCTGGAATAGGAGGAGACGATGATTCTTGAATACATCGTTAAATATGAAAATCCCAATAATAACATATTTAGTCTTGATGAATGGGGTTCCCCAGCCTGGTAGCACTACGCAGCAAAAGGTGGGGGTTGCGCAGAAACCAGCGAGCAGCACCGACGGCCGTCTCCTCATTCGGAGCTGCATCCTTAGATGACCCAACGTGGGCTGGTGCCAGACACCGGTCCTTCATAAGAAGACAGGAAGTAAACAGCTGTGAAACTAGATGGTCTAGCCTTCAGGCTTAATCCTGCCCTAGCCTTGGCGTATAGCCTGTCACCTAGCAACCATGACTACGCCAAACAGAAGACTCACAGAGCAACAGCTACCAACAGATATCCACCAGCAGAAACATAAAAACACGAAACAGTCCAGAATGAATCTGCAGAGGTGGCTTCATGAGAGGTGGACTTCATGAGAGGTGGACTTCATGAGAGGTGGACTTCATGAGAGGTGGACTTCATGAGAGGTGGACTTCATGAGAGGTGGACTTCATGAGAGGTGGACTTCATGAGAGGTGGACTTCATGAACATGTTTTGGATCGACCATAAAACTTTTAACTGATGAGAGAAGTCATGATGTGTGTCCTTCGACAATGACATGACCAGAAGGGTGCGTTAATCTCAGGTGTGTCCTGTGGTCAGCATCACAGGTGTCCTGGTCATCAGTCTGCATGTCTAAAGGTAGTCACAGTGCTGTTTGGTATTAGGGTGTGTACCTCAAAGCCTGACCTCTGACCCATGAGCTGTTCTTGGTTGAATGACAGCAACAAAGGAAAGTGAATCTAAGAGAAACGCTCACGATAAACTGCTCCACATCCCGCTCCATGCCCACGTTCGGCAGGTCCGGCATCATGTGGGCAACCACTTTAAAACCGGCGTCTTTAGCCAGGTGGAAGGACTCGCACACGGCTCGTACAGTGTGACCTCTGGAGAAAACACACCAGGATTACACAGATGAAGATTAAAACTCCCCCTCTAGCTGTGTCTGTCACCTGGTCATCCTCACCTGTTGGTGTCGCGGGCCACATCCTCGTAAACGCTCTGAACGCCGATCTCCAGTCGGGTGGAGCCGTAGTTCAGCATGTCGCTCAGGTGGCGCTTCAGGCAGTAGTCTGGCCGCGTTTCTATAGTGATCCCAACACACTTGGTGCTACTGCGCTCCGAGTACCTGCAGGGGAGAGAAAAACAAGCTCACGGCGTTCTGTCTGGAGTCATTTCTACAAACGATGTCCTGGTAGGTGTTGTTCTCGATTAGACGTCATAATGAGCTTTTAATTTTACCATTTAGTCTTAATGAGATTAAATATTTGAGGGGTTAGAGTGAACGAGGAACATTCCTGGCATCATTTAGCAACATCGATTTACACGCTGTAAAATGAAATGGCTCATTATCCAAACTGCTAACAGTAACTTCACATTAAGAGCATATTAATGCAATCAACCCAACAGACAGAGAAACCCAATCAGAGCGTAACGCGTTCTTTTATTCTGGGTTAAAGGAAACGTCTTCAGTCATCAAGGGGGATGTTTGCGAACTCTAACCCAGAGGTTTCCCAGCTCCTGGTGTTGGTTTTTAAACTGCTCATGATGCCGTTTCTGATTCCAGCGTAGTGTTGTCACACACGCTCACATTCACTAAATTCACAGCAGTTAGAAACACAGAAGGACAAAATGGACACTAACATTTACTGTATTTCTTTTGACTTGAGCAATTCCAACTCTGACTGCTAGGTGGCAGCAGATTTTACCGCTTTTATTCTGACGGACCAACGAGATCTCACGGACGCTGGACGTGTCCCAGACATGCCGGGCCTGAGCTTTCGAATCAAATCCAGACTTAAAAATGCTAAAAACTGTCTTTTAGTATCATGACATATTGTGTCATCTCCCTGTGTTGCGACATGTACCGTGTGTACCACCAGAGCCAGTACACACCCTTAATAAACAGCAAGTGGAAGACAGCTGAAGGGTCAGAGGTCATGAAGAGGTCAAGGCGCGCCTCACCTTGGTTTTGAGGCTCCCATCGGTCTCCTGCCAAAGGCAGCCTCTGCTAGCTGCAGAGAATTACTCATAAAGTAACTTCGACCGTCGTATTAAAACAGGGTGCCATAAATAAACTCAAGTCAGATCAACACACAGTCATGTGTCATGTGATCAGATGAGTCCATGATGTCCCTTTAGGTAAAATCAGACTCTGGGCTGTAAGCGCCTCAGAATCACCATCAAGGACATTATTTAGGACAGAGCTGTAGAGAGAGAGTTGCGACACGCTTTGAACTCGCCGACTCGCGGTCACGTGGTTCATGGAGCTCTCAATAGCTCCAAACATCCCAGCGTCGTAAGTCAGTTTGGACGACGTGTGGTGGGACAAATCACTAAATCAGAATATTGTCACATTTGCCCTGGCGATTTTTGGTAATTATTGAATAATATTATATATAATATATAAAGGAGTTATAATATATAACCCCTTCACAAAGTAGCCTATTTATTTTTTCCCGAGCATTCGTAGGAAGACCTACTGGCTGCAATGGGTTAGGGTTAGGCTTCACAATGCAACAAAATGATGACATTTCATCAACTTACCGGAGAAAATCCTTCCGAAACACCAAAAATGAACTACGGTCGGTGCAGCAGCGGGGCTGTTTGGAACTATGCGAAGCTACATGAACCACGTGACTCCCACGTTCCATTCTTCCTATAGGAGTCTATCGGAGCGTCGCAACGCTCTTTCTGCAGCTCGGATTTAGGAAAAGTGCAAAAGCAGCATTTTTGAAGTTTTCAGCAGGATTGTGTCAGACCTCATTCTGCAGGAATTGCTACATTGTGGCTTTACAAAAAGTGTGTGTGTGTGTGTGTGTGTGTGTGTGTGTGTGTGTGTGTGTGTGTGTGTGTGTGTGTGTGTGTGTGCGCGCACATTTGATTGGCTCCCTAAATAATGCCACCAGGTGAAACGTGTGTAACGTCAGGAGTCAAACATGGCTGATTCCTTTAGAGCAGTGATAGCAGATCTACAGAACAAGCTAGGTTTTGAATGTAAACACAGTCACGGAGCACTTTCTGCAGCTTCTGACACCGTTGATCACAACACCTACATTAACAGAATTCGTCACTCTGTGGGGATCTCTGGAACTGGTCTAGACTGGTTTAGATCGTACCTTTCTAACAGACGTTACAGTGTCTGTAGAAACCAGATCATGTCAGACTCTACCAATCTGCTCTGTGGGGTACCCCAAGGCTCTGTTTTGGGTCCATTGTTGTCTCTGCTGTACAAACACCCTCTTGGACAGATAATTGATTCTTTTCATAAAGTCTCTTAAAGTTAAAGTTAAAAGTTAAAGTCCCATTAGTTGTCACACACACTGGTGTGTGTGCGAAATTTGTTCTCCGCATTTGACCCATCCCCTGGGGGAGCGGTGAGCTGCAGACACAGCCGCGCTCGGGAACCATTTGTTGGTTTAACCCCCCCAATCCAACCCTTAATGCTGAGTGTCAAGCAGGGAGGCATTGGGTCCCATTTTTTCTAAGTCTTTGGTATGACCCGACCAGGAATCGAACCCTGATCTCCCGGTCTCAGGACGGACACTCTACCACTAGACCACTGAGACCACCTATATGCAGATGATATTCAGCTGTACTGCTCCTTTAAGGATTCTGAGTTCTACAAACTGTCTGAATTACTAGAGTGTCTATCAGCATCACCAGCTGACGAGAAGATAACTTCCTTCAGTTAAACTCTGAGAAGACTGAATGTCTGATCATTGCCCCCGAGAGCACGGTTCCCCGGATTAGTCTAAAACTTAGTTATTTATCCTCTGCCGTCAACATGTGCGTACTACATGAGCTGCCGGCTGAGCTGAAGTATTCTAGCGGCCAACCGAAGTGCTCCGTTCTCCGTTCACATGATTCCAAGATGTATTCAGATGCAGCTCCCTCTCTGCATGTCAGAAAAATAAATGAAACTGTACCATGCGGATCGATGGACCCGCTGTTTCCACTAACCTCTCGTGTTTTTATGGTGTTATACAATTTTTTTGACTTCGTTTTTCCGATTTTCATTTATTAGGGTTACACTCTGGTTTATACATATACTTTGATTAATTAAACAAGAGAAGGCGGCAAGCATTCAGATGAAGGGTGTGACGACCACTGATGCACCGTGTTCTCCTGTCGTCAAAACAGATGTCTTCTCAGCTTCACCTAGCCTCACTCGGACTCATGGTGCAAAGTTATTCGAGTCAAAATCACCAAAACAACCAAAGTGACCCAACAGACACGTCATCCCAGAACACTATCCAGATGTCATTTTCTCCACTCCAGCTGCTCCAATGACCATTAGCACCACTCACGCCAGCCCGCGTTCCCTCTGGTTTTGTATCTGCCGGCAGTAAATGGCCATCTTTTACAGTCTGCTGGTTGATTTACTCTAATTACAAAAGTTTATGCTCCAGCGGGGATGATCAGATTGTGTGAGATGAATCAATAAAAAGTCTATTATCTCGACGATTATCTCAAGGTATCTCGCTGCTTCTATCAGATCAAGAGCAGAGACGGGAGCATTACACACACACACACACACACACACACACACACACACACCCTTGTTCTGTCCAAACTGAACAATAATCTCTACAATTACTATAATTGGCATCTTAACAAAGCCTGCTGATAGTAAGGCAGGGTGAATTAAAACGCACACACACACACACATCTGGGTGTACTCTCACACTCTCTGACAAACACACATATAATAAATTTAACACACACTCACTTTAGGAATAAAAATAACTCCGGCTGACAAACCGGTTAGCAGGCTCGTTACTCCCGTGAAGAGGACCATTAATCGGCTGAATCGCCTGAACGAGGCGTCTCCTGATAAAATGTGGGTCAATCTTCAACAAGTCACCCTGAAAGCTGCAGCTCATCCATACTGAGCAGACCTGATTCCATTCAAAGCTCACCAAACTCGGCGAGCGTAATCGATGAGAGTAAGAGGAGACTTTATCTTCTTCCTGCATTCTCAATGGCTTCATTCAGCAGATGAAACCGAGTATCCTCCTCCCTCTAAACGTAAGTAGATCCTTGCAAAGAGACTTTCACTGGAAAAGGTTAAAGCAGCCAGCAGAGAGCATCACCCTCTGTAATAAGATCCCCCAGCTGAGTAGTAGGAGAGGCGTCTGATGTTCCTCTGAGATCTCAGAAGAACTGACTGATGCCAATGTGGACATGGTTGCTGGAGTACTGACTGAAAGAACAAGATCATGAGCACAAGGGACCAAGGTGGGTCTGAGGTGGCCGGCTGATCCTCAGAGACAGAGGGAGGAGTGGAGCCGCTGCTACTGAGGTGGTTTTGGGAATGTGGTCAGCATAGCCTCTGGGGGAGAGGGTTCTGTTCTGTTCTACAGTGAGGACACCTCAGGGAACAGCCAGGACATTGGAGGAACTAGATGGCGAGACAACAGTCTGGGCTTCCTTGCTATGGCTGCTGCCCCCATGAGCCCAACCCAGAAATGTGGAAAACAACTATGTTTATGTTTATGTTCATTTATTTAGCAGACGCTTTTATCCAACACGACTTACAATTTATAACCTATAGGGCGTGTTGTGATCTGTGGGGGAAACCGGAGTACCCGGAGGAAACCCACGCATGCATGGGGAGAACACGCAACTCCACGCAGAAAGGCCGCAGCCGAGTTTCGAACCTGCAACCTTCGTGCTGCGAGGCAACAGTGCTAACCACTGTGCCACCATGCAGCCCAAGACAAGCCTTCACCTATTGTTTGATCCTGTTCATTCTTAAAGGTGTACGAAGTAAGAATGACACCCTCTGGTCAAAACTGGGCACTGCAGTCCACGTTTCAAAACAAACAAATCCACTGTGAGTGGACCCCCCCACCCCCCACCCCCCCGGCACAGCCAGAAGAGGAAGTGTGGGCCCCCCTTCCCATGGGCTCACCACTCGTGGGAGGGGCCAAAGGGGTCGGGTGCAGTGTGTGACAGGTGGTAGTCGAGGGCGGGGACCTTGGCGGTCTGATCCTCGGCAACAGAAGCTGGCTCTTGGCACATGGAATGTCACCTCTCTGGTGGGGGAGGAGCCTGAGTTGGTGTGTGAGGTTGAGAGGTTCAGACTAGATATGGTCGGACTCACCTCAACGCATGGCTCTGGCT